AAGAAATAAAAAAAAATAAATAAAAATAAAAATATTAAAATCTTATTTGGCCATAAGTGAGGAAATCAGGAAATAAGTTCATTCGCCACTGTAGATAAATATTATTCGTGGGTTCTTTCAAGAGTTTCAACGCTTATTGCGAGAGATATTCAATTAATTATGATTATTTATAGACCTTGGGTTTGTTTCGTGGTACTTTACTACTTTCATTAGCAAAGAGGTTTCTTTACTGTAATATCATGATTAAGTTCTAAATAGTGAATAGCCATTACTATTATTCTAATACTCAAAAATCAATACCCATTTTATCTAGGCTAGGGGTGGCCCATACAAATGCAATTAATAATTATGTTATCTAGACGACGGCAGCGAGACTATTGGTGTATGAGATAATAGATATAATAATATAAAAAAAATCTATAAATATATTACTTTAATATTATGTTCATTACTATTTCACGGTTGAAAATTCCCAATCATTAAAGTTGTTGAAGACCGAAGAAGAAAAAGCAACTTACTATAATATAGTATAGAGCTAGACATGTAAAATCATAACGAACCCAGTTATCCAAGTATTTTATCTCCAAACCAAAGTCGGCGACAATCCAATTTATTTGCCTATATACAATATACTCGTTAAATACAAATCTCCATAAACTATATTAATATAATATTATTATAATAATAATATATTTTATAGTATGTCATTAATCCATATACCTAGATGGCTACATGAAAACTATATAACTCTCTGGTCTGCAAGTAGCCAATAGGAATAAGAGATATWCATTGATATATATTATATATTATATARCTGTTAGTACCTAGTTTGGTCACAGAATAACATGGTTGGACCGAGGTTYAGTAAAGTCATAGGGGGCGCAGTCCTTTTAGGCAGGGTCGGCCAAACTAATTACGATTTTGAAACTTAGAGATACTTTAAAATATTTCATAAATTCAATTTTTAATGTATTCAACTAATTATTATCTTAGAAAATTGTAATTTATAATTGTATAATTAAAGTTTCATGGTGAAAATTTATCAGATCGCAATATTTATAACAAGTACAGTACAGTTCGCAAGGTGGGCCATCGCCAKKGTCCACCCCTAGCGTAATCCTTATAATCTGTGCTATGATTAAGGTGGAAGCACGTTGTGCAATTTGGGGGAGACCCCTAGGATGGACTTATGGGCCCTCCAGCATCACGGTTATTAAAAAAAAATTAAATTGTTATCAATTAAAATAATAATTAACTATTCATTATCAATTTTATATAACGTTAATAGTTTTATACAACAATAAGTCAATAAATCCCATTTACAAAATGTATCAAAATTATTTCCACTACGGTTAACACATATTCCAACAACTAATACTCGTCTACTAATCTACTATTTGATTTTAAATAATAAATTAATTATTAATTTTGATTTTGTCATTTATTTTGATAGTTATTTAATTATTTTCTTCCAAATGAGTTTATCGTATTGTTAGAATCTTCTAGAAACTGCTTACCCCACCATTCACCATGTCAACCAATGATCAGCTGCAGAAGATACTAATATTATATGATATATTAATATGTTTGTTGCTTCCGCGTTCCCTTTATACTCGTCGAATTTGATTGGCGGTCGACGTTAGCCCGATTTATTATTTTAATCTAATATTACCAATCATAAAATCATGAYRAATGAATTGTRTGAGGTGTGATATTAATTGAAGAATTTTTTTAATTTAAGGTYAGAGAGACAGAGAATATTAATATCAGTAAGAAGTTCTGAAAAGTTTAGCCYTCTTCCCTAACTAAAAATCTCGAATTACGCCTATGTAATATTACTAATATTACCACATTAAAAGCTGGCATCGTCTGTTTGAGCGTGCACACGTGGGTACCTTTTTTTATCCAAAATCACCATTTACCATAGGTAATTCGAGCTTAAATGTTTTGGCCTAAAGATACCCTTAACCTTATACGCGATTGCCATACGTTATGTTATGTGAGCGTAGATTTTTAATAAYTAACGTAAGACAACAATTGTTATTAAAAGAATAAATAAAAAATCAGATCGATTTATGGGTTTATTTTTAACAATTTTTTTTTATTGTTCAATAAAACTTAATAGGCATAATTATTTAAGAATTTTAATAAATCAATACTTCATACTAATTGTACCAATAATCAATATTTAACACCTTGCATGTCATTCAACTACTAAATAAACTGTAGTATAGTATAGTAAGTATACTAATATGTTACTTATTAGTCATGGATACAAACACCAAAGGCAGTCTTAGAAGACTATGGTGCCGTGGTACAACATGTATTGATTTTTATTTAATATAATCTGTGATGTTATGTTGTTGTAATAATATAATATTAATGTCATGACAAAATCGGTTGACTATTTGTACAATTATTTTGTCATGTTAACA